TAGGAGGCAGATCATAACGATATTCAGAGAAAAAGAAAATCCCAGACTGTTCGGCTTCCGGTGAGGAACTGAAGAAGCCGCCTTCGCAGATCTTGGAATCAGTCTGTATTTAATCTGGCCCTATGTATGCCTTAAAATGTTCATAAATCCAGACTACTGATGAAGGACTGAGGAGAAGATTTATACCTGTTTATAAAGTGCCCCTATGTCTTGATATCAAGGTTACAGTTCCTGAGCAGAATGAGCTAGTGAGGATTTTATTAAGAGGAGAGTGCTTTTCTTTCCTGGAAGCACTAGATACTGCACAGACCCATTAGCACTCTTTGTACAAGGAGCCACAAACCCTGGGCATTCTTCATAATTATTTGGGAAAATGTATTTTTTCCTCTTGCATCACTTCTGCTGATGTGTTTCTATAATTTTTTATACCCAAACATTTTTTTAAATCCTGGTGGTTTGTATGCATTATTTTTCCAATATTCAGTTGCCATGATAAGAAGAGTCCAGTAAGTAACCATCCCCTCAGAAATAACCTGAATGTGTTCATCTTCAAGCCATGCTACATGATCTATTTCTCCTTCCTAGATTTTGTAAATAGCTGAGTTAGTTGAATACTGAGGATGGCTACCTTTTATAGCTTGGGGAGGCTGCAGCATATATAGTTTTGTTAGCCTGTATTTTTTAAAGTGTGTCAAAGGTGATGAGAGCTCTGCAGAAAATTACTTCCCAAAATAGAGATAGCCGTAGGGTATATCCATATGCAGCAGGCTGATGCATGAAAATAACATCTTCCTCCCTAGTTCTAATTACTTGGCGCACAAAATACATTACTGTGTGATTTATTTAATAAAAGCATTGAGGAGTCACCATAATGAGCTCCTGCTTTATACTTTCACCTGCAACTATCTGGGTTAAGATCCTGGCATAGGTTACCCACATTGTTTTATATTAATCCTATCCTCAAACAACCTCTATTTTAAGAGCCTCCAGCTGAAGCCCTTGAGCATAGAGCTTTGTAATGTGAAAATACAAAGCCCAGAAGGAGCCTCATCTAGAACTGCAGAGAACAGCAAAGATAAAAAATGAACAGCATTAGTCTACTAGCAGGACATCTTGGCTTTTCTAGACTCCAGGGCCCTCCTCTTTACCAATCAGCACAGATTATTAACCTTCACTCACACCTGGCTTCTGACTTCTTCCTCCCCCATTAAGGGTTTTCACCTGTGGTTCATTTGCCTAACTAGAACCAAACTCTAAGGCAATCTATTGACTCTGTATTTGCCAGACTAGCATTCTTTTAACAGATTAATGGACCAGGCATCACTACTATACTCTGATTCTCTCCTGTTTGGGGCCTACACATCTTCCCATCTGTAGAAGAGGCAGCAAATATGCACATTCTCTTCCTTAAAGATATAAAGCTCCATCTTCTTTTGGTTTGGTTCCAGCCATAAGTGTCAATCTGGGCTCTTTTAAATATAGTATATTAAGCAGCCTACATCTCTACTGGCATAACTGGATAAAACTCCAATAAAGTCAATCAGGCTCTACCCATTTATATCCACAGAGAATTCTGTTGAAGATATCAACATGTGAGAAGAAAGGGTGCTTCCATTATTAACACCTGATCCTATGGAAAGGATTCAATGAAAGAGTTTATAGGTTTTAACTACAGCTATTTTACTGACACTACAGAAAAAAGTCTTGCTCTGAAAAAACAAATATGGATCAGGATCAGAAACAGAAAACACACTTTTATTTATGTGCTTGCCTTCCAATTATAGAGCCAGTACTGCTGGGGAGCTGAACATGCAGGGGAGGTTTTCCACTTGGACACAATTCCCTGTTCCTGTTCCCCTGTCCCATGATATATCATGTCAGCAAAATATATTTCATTCTCATGACTCAAGACTTGGGTGATGGAAGACGCGATTAGAAATAGAATTATTACTGTAGCAAATGTTATATGATCCTAATTTACAGATATTTCTGAGCTATTCATTGCTTCCTCCCCTTCCCCCCCACTGCAGAACCAAAAACAGCGATAAACTTGTTTTTAATTATTCTGTTAATTCATTCAAGTAAGGTGCTGACAGCACTGTGTGATAAAGACCAAGTTTTCCCTGCAGATCTCTTCCAAAGCACCTAACACCTGGTCTATAGCACCCCTGTATCGGGCCTAGATTTCCTGTACAACTCTGGTAACAAAACTCAGTGCCAAGTTAACAACAGCTGCTAACAAGATTCCTGTTATTTCAGCTCTGAGTCTGGCAAAGGGGTTCCATTGTGCAGAACTGTGCTGTCATTTTGCAATGAGACTGAGGTACAACTGAGGAAATCCTCTGATCTGAAGGATCTTTATCACTTGCATTGTAGGAGGAAGTGATAGGCTGAGATGCGCTCTGGCTGGTTTCTGTTACATCTGGAAATACTGAATACTGGGAGGGAGGTAATTTTTTTCTTTCCTTTTATCTGACCTACTTTTCAACTATTAATTTAATTGCAAATTATCCAGATAGAATGTGTCCACGATGACCAGAAAATGCTTTTGTATTGCTTGACATGCTAACTTAGTTATAACATACTGCTGATCTGTTTATTTTTCTGATCTATCCCACTGGAGAAACCCAGTTCTGTGCAAGCACACACTAGACCTTGATACAAACTGAAAAGGATCTACCACTCAAAAAAAGACACACTCAGAAATGGGTATCTTGGGACTTGAGATCTCGCTCACCATTGTGCACCGTATGTCCCTGAGCAAATGGGTTAGCTTTTCTCTGCCTCAGTCCCCTTCTGTCAAATGGGGAAAATGATACCTGACCTCAGGCTTTGAGATGGCAAAGCTTATCCCATGGTTGCAAGCTTCCCCTGTGAATGAATTCTTAACCAGCTGACACAACAACAAAAACTGAAGATGTTATTCGATAAATCCAGTCAGATCCCTGCCTCATCTCAATCAACACAGCTCCATTAATTTCAAGAGGCCTGTTTCAGCTGACACCAGCTGAGGCCCTGACACATTTCATTGTATTAAAATGTATTAAAAATGATTTATTCGGTCTTTTAACATGGGAAAAGAAATTGTGTCAAATCGATCATCTGTTAATATTTGGCCAAGTATGATCAAATAGCAGAGAAGAGGACCGGGTAGTACAGAGAGTGAAGCTCCTTGGTTTAAGAGCACTGAATGGTATGGCTTGTGTTTTTCCTTTGGCTTATCCTACTGAATTCAAGGGAGATACTGGCCCACACAGCCAGAGTGTAAGGAGAATCTGACCTTGTGATCACTGTGGTGGTGGTGGGCTATCCAAGGGGGGTGGGTTTCCATCAGTTTGCTATGATGAATTCATTGCTTTGTCAGAGCATTCAGCAGCCACTCAAACTAAACTATTACTTACTTTCCCAATCTACACAACAGTGACATTGTTTCAGGCTTCTCCTAACCCAGGAGCAATTTAGTGGCTCAATGTAGCATTATGATTCACAGTACAGCTTGATCCATCTCCTCTGTTATGAAACAGCAGTCCCATTTTGCAGATGGGTAAAGTGAGGCACAGAGGAGCGTAGATTCAATGTCACTAGTGAGTCAAGCCAAAAGTAGAAGCGGGAGGGTGCTGATTACTACTATTGAGTCTCACTGTTACAGGAATATCTTCCGAGCTGTCATTTGACTTATTATTACTTGCAGTTAGTTCACTGAGCAGATCAGTTTAGCATTATTGAAGAATTATGATCACTGCTGGTTACATGCTCTTCTAAAACCAAAATATCATTCCTGTGATTTACTGCAGTAAGTCCACCAAATAAACGTGACTGCTCAGCAGCCAACCTCAAACCTCTGGCAAAAGAGTGTACTTCTTACTATATTTGCAAAGCTCTAGTGTACCTTACCTTCAGGGCCGAAGAAATAGCCTGACTGACTAGTTCCTTATAATTCTTAAGTATAAAGGACAGATAGCATCAAGATTCAGTTCATGAAAAGGAACATCTGGTCCACATTTAACCCAGGGGCCTCTGGGACTGAGCAGTAATGCATCAGTAGGGATTGGTTATACAGCACATATTTTTTTCCAGGAGGTGAAGGTTGAGGGATGAGGTGGGGAGGGAAAAAGGCAGAGAGGACAGAGCACAGCTCCTGAACAGTGACTGATACAGGTGCTCTCAAAACACTATCATTATCTGGATGTCAGTGGGACTGTTCTATCACTATAAGTAAGTGACACTAAGGAGGAGAAGAAAGAAAGTGTGAAAATTACTAGCTCATGATATTTGGATCTAAGATCATTTGAGGGCAGATGGGATTTTGGGAGCCTTCAGGGAGTGTTTAAGTGAGATGCATGAAGGGGAGCTGGCCACTCTAGAGTTCAGCTGAGCTCACTTCCAAAAGCAAGTGTCAAAAAGCACTAGGAACTAGCACAGATTCTAATGAAGGGTATTTTTTTGAGGCTGGTGTGTAATGTGAAACAACAAAGAAAGGGTGAGCAATCAAACTATCTGTGGTGTTTCTCTTTTATTGATTAAGAGAATTCAGAGGCCAGTGATGCTCTCTCCCCATCTGTCAGCTGGCTCCTGGACTCTGCGTAGAAATTCTCTCACAGCTAGCAAGAAAGACCAAACAGTAGACAGGTATGCAGGGTACATCTGTCTAGCACTAGGGAGAGGAATGCAGACATGCCCCATGCTAGGTTCACACGTCAGCTCTGCAGCTGGAAGCAGACAAATAAACTCAGAAGGATGGCTTAGAGCACCACAGTAACATGACCATCCTGGTTCTTGATTCAGCTTGGCATAGTTAGTAGAGAGTATATCTGCACAGTGTTGCCTTAAGCTGCACTGACTGATCTTACATAATCCTTCTACAAATCCATATGGATGTTTTGTACAGCTACGCACTTTCTATTGTGAAACTTTGTCGCCCAGCTTGGAGAAACAGAACATATCAAAGCTAGAGCACTTATTTGTTACTTCTGTTCATGCTTTGAATGGAGGTTCATTACCTTCAGCTGCTCTTTTGAAGAAGACTTTGCAGCTACCACAGGTGAGAGCTCCGTAGTGGCACCCAGAAGCTTCATCTCCGCAAATCAGGCAAGTCTTCTGTGGTGGAAAGTAATAGTCAATGGGCAAAACGTGGTCCCTTCCAGCCTCCAACCTTCAGACACAAGGAGAAAGAGACAAAACAGAGTCAGCAGACAGGATGAATGGACATGAGTTTGTTGCAAGCACAGAATATCATGCTTGGGAGACTGTTCACTGCAAAAACTAGACTCAGAAAACACACATTTATTTATTTATTTGCTGCATTTCCCAGCAAAGGCTCAGGGCAGCTTATAATAAGAAAACAGAATAGCTTACACAATAGGAGAGTGACAAGAGGCCAGAACAACTTAAAAGGGAACTAGGAAATCAACATAAAACAGATCTTCTGAACCAGTGCGGGAAGGGAGTGGGCCTTTTTGGCAGGCATGCCACAAAATTAGCTCTGTACCCTCCCCAAGTGCCACTTTAATCTCCTTCCCCTGCCTGATCTGCTGCTCTGCTTTCTGCTTCCTTCCCTGTGCTCCTTGACTGATTTGGGGCTTTTGATTGTAGCTGTGTTGGTCTAAGGACATAGGCAGGAAAGCTTCTTTGGGTAGATGTGATCTTTTATTAGACCAACTGAGTAGTTGGAAAAAAGTTCTTTGCAAGTTTTTGGGCACAATCACCCTTCTTCAGGCATAGGAAATCTCTGCTGTTCTGAGACTCCAAGGAATGAAAAAAGCTAAAAATGTGGCCGGATGTCAGTAAAAATGTAAATAGGTGGAAATTAGGAAAACAAAAGGTAGAGCGGAGAAAGGAGGAGGGGAAAAAGTGTGTGTGTGTGGGGGGGAAGCGAGGAGAAAAAGTGGGGGGAAAAAACCCAAAGGTGAGTAGGGGAGACTTTATAGTAGTAGTAATTCAAGGTAGAAAAGAGGCTGTACTTTTTCACAGACAGCCTCTTTTCTTCCTTGAATTGCTACTACTGTAGAGTCAGCATCCCTCCCCCTCAGTCCCACTACAGCCTGGAGCTGCACGCCCTGCCACACCTCCCTGCCACTGCCAACAGTGCACAGCCCCAGTGGGCCCTGTGCCCACTCTGGATTGACCCCAGCAGGAGCAGAGCAGCCAGACCATGCACACAGCCCTGACCTGGCACCTGTGACTGCTCTGCATTGCCATGCTGAGCTGCCCTGTGGCTCCTCTATGCTGCCCCTGCTGCCCTGCAGAGAAGCCCAGAGGCGGTGGTGACAGCACAAGGCAGTGCAGTGTGGGCTATGCGCAGCTGCTACAGGAAGCACTGGGCAGTGCTGAAGGGGAGGGGCTGCTTTTCTCCCTTGCCAAGCATGTTTCTGCCTCACCGGTGCTGCTGTTGCTGCAGCCGTTCAGCATGAGCAGGCGAGTTTGCAGCAGCTGCAGGGCAAGTCAGGGCTGCACATGGGTCCCCGACAGTACCACAGGGTTGGAGCTAGTGGCTGCTTAGAAAGGCAGTCCAGTGCGGAGCCGCCCCAGCCCCACTGTGTGCCCAAGGGGTAGCAGGACGCACCACCGTGGGACGATGCCTGGGCCAGGTGGGACCAAGGGATCTGCCGTGAGCTGGATAAAGCCCCTCTGCAGGCCAGAACCGGCTTGTTGACCATATTTTGCCCACCTCTGGTTTAGGATTTCATAGGTCCCTAAACCAGCACCCTGATTTCTGCCTGGAAACCTACTGAGATCCAGTGCAGACTCTGGAGCTATGTGCTGTCCCCATCGGAAGGTGAACCACTGTGTTTGCTTCCAGACAATTTTCATCGGCAGCCCTACGTAGATGGGTCACACATCATTCAGCAAAGCAGCAACAACGGAGCTGAACACCCACTTTAGCACACACCAGTTTCATGCTGATGTCATCCTGCTAACTAGCGGAGTTATTCTTAATTTACAGTGTGAGAATGAAACCAGACTTAGCCTCTTTAAATCACTCCTTTCATGCCTAGGGCTTACCAGATGGCAGGACTGGCTTTAAGGGACTGAAGAGGAAACACTTTATGACAGGCTTTTGTAATGCTAATGCCATTATGGCTTCAGCACTGAGGCTCATCTGATATACTGGGTGAGTCTACACAAGATGCTAACTGCACTGTGCAGTAGCCTAATTTTACTGAGCAGTAGCGTGCAGGACAAAACCCATGCTAATATACTACTGAGCAGTAGTAGGCTACTGCAGGTAGCATCACTAAAAAGCTGTGCACCAGCGCTACTGTACAGTAATGCCAGGTACTGTGCATTGATTTAGTACTTGGTTATCCAAGTACTAAACTAAATGCGCCTTAACTACAGCGCATTAATGAACCTATATGTGTTCAGTGTGTTGCTGGGACCCTGCACTTTCTATAGGCTACTTGGACCAAATCCACTGAAGTGGGTATTGTTTTACTGGGGATGAATTTGGCTTTTGGATTTTTCATTTAGACCCAATTGCTGTTTACAATACAATCAAACCACGTGCAGGCTATTCATTTTTAACTACTTCTTCATCAACACTGCTGCTAACTCAGAAAGAAGAAGCCTTTGCTCTCCTCACCGCAGGTTGCAAGTGTGCAGCCTCTTTGTGGCCTACTGACTAGCAGAGCCAAAGCCCTACTCCAAAAATTAAACCTATGTTCTCTCACATAGTAGCAGCAAGGACTAATCGTTGGCAAGGGGCCAAGGTGGGTTGTTTATGACCATATTTTATTAACTGCTGAAGTTTCTATTTATACCACAACATTTCTGCCACTGAATTGGTACGTTCAGTGAAAACTATCCCTATTTCCTGACTAGCATATCAAAACCATAACCTTAAAGGGGACTGGACAGCTGAGTAAAAAGCAATAAGATACAGAGCATTTTGTCATGGGTCGTGGGTATCAGCAGTGACCAAAGTTCATTGTGGTAACAGGCTAATTCCTACTAGGAATCATAAAATACTTCACAAAACCTCAGCTGTCATCACCACTAACTGGCTCCCTTCGGCCACTCAGCTGACAAGCTAAAGAGTGAATAGGCCAAGGGAAATGAACTCTTTTCTAACATACAGAGATAGCCTCAGCTGGGAAATAAGGCAAAGATACCTCCCATGGAGAAAGAAGTGAATGACAATGCTGATGTTTTCTACACTGAACCTACCAGCAGACAGAAGGTCTCAGTTACAAGGGTTGTCCATCCAATATCTTTCACTTTTTATATGCCCTCAAACCCTTTATAAACCCTAGTCTCCCACATACACGTGAAATGTGGTATATTGCTCTTTCAAAATATGACTTCCCCAAAATCATAAAGAAAATAACAGTTAGCCGCCCTGGTATAGCACTTTGCTTTGAATTCACTCTAATCACAGGCGATACAGCTATAATTACAACTTTGTTTGAAAAGGCAGGACTTGATTAGAAGTGGACTTAGAGCTTACTGCACATATGCATAAAACACTTGAACCAGTGGGAGCCTTTCCTTTAAACAAGACTATATACTATTGCAGAGATCTCTAACAGCCTGTTGGAGTTGGTCCCTTCAACAACACAAGGAGCTGGACATTATCTTTGAAACTTTCCTCCTCCAAACACCTTTCCTCCTCCCTAATACCCTCAAAGCAGTCTGAGGAATTATGCCCTTCTCCATATCTATGTCTCACTTTAAATGCCCAACCTCTCTCTGGAAGTTGCAATTGACCAGAAAGCTCCTAGGAGTCCAATCTATCAGTGATACTTCTTAAACATCCAGGAAGGACTGCCATCAAGAAACTCTTCCCTACCACTTCATGGGTTGGAATGTTGTTCCCTCTGCACTGTCAATGCACATCAGCTGGGGGAGCTGGAAACAGGGAATGGGAGTCAGACCTGAGTTTGTAGAATATTCACACTGTTCATGGATTACCACGGTCATTTAGTTTCCCCCGTATTTTTGTTACCCTGCACCCCCCACCACCCATTTTGGCCATGATGAGTTTAGGCCAGTGGTTCTCAACCTTTCTGGACTCGAGATACCCCTCACTGGACTTGAGGCACTTCTTCCTCCATAACTTTTGTGAACTGAGTGGCACCCAATTTCAAAAACAAATTTATATATTACAGTCCTTACTTGCAGATGGGCCAGGCAGGAGGCTGGGGGAATCAGCCAGGGAGGGATTGGTCTGAGCCTGTGCTTCTCTGGTTAGCTAATCTCCTCACATACTGAGGCACCCTTCAAAAGATCTGATGGCACCCTGGTTGAGAATCACTGGTTTAAGCTATGCTCTCTCTGGGCCAGGGCCGTGGTCTTCTGTGTGCAATACAGGGGACGCATAAAGAGCCTTCCCCTACTCATTCAAGAGCCCGTGTAAGTACCAGGCAGAATCAAAGAACTTAGCTGTCATGCTCTAGATTATTAGAATAAATATTAATTGTAAATTGCTTCCAATATCAGCCCCATTGTATTAGCCAAATAATGTTAAATAACTGTAATATGGAAAGGGGCATTACATTTTGAACTAAAAACAACCTGCCTTTTCCTTCTAGTATTACCTGAAAAGCATTACTTTCAGATGTAGTTTAATACTGTATCATCTTTACTACACAGGTTCCTGAAATACAAATTATATTAATGGTGAATAAACTGACAGTAACAAGTTAGCATGTGAAAAAATACTCAGCATTGGGTCTTTAGTGTGAATAAATGATAGAGATAAATCAAAACAGAACAACAGTTTACTAAGGAAACAGAAGACAGCTTGAAGCTCCCAATGAACTAATAATAAGCAATATATGTTTCAAATGTTCTGAAGCTCTCTGGATTTTCCCACTTTCATGCTCCACTGTTCTTGTAACTTATCTAGATGCTAGAGCATACGAACACTCACAGCCTGTCTACAACTGAAGCTCATCATGGATTCATTCTATATTTATCTGCAATGGGACTGGTTTGGCCAGCCTTTGTCCGTTGTTCCCATGTGTTATCAGAATAATGGTATTTCTGCACTTTTGTATTTAATTCAAGAGTACCGAGGAAAAACTGTCATATCAAGGGTTAATTAAGCTAATACATGTGCATTATTTGCATGTTCCCTTTCCCAAGTATCCCCATATGAGTTTCAACTCTTTATAACTAAGAATTGATTTATCTTTGCTGGGCTTATTGCAT